TGGGTGAATAAAATTGTGGTTATTTATACAATGGAACAATACTTAGTAACAAAAATAAACTACTGATACACATGTAACAACATGAATAAATCTCAAAAACATTATGCTAAGTGAAAGAAACTATACACAAAATAGTATATACTGTATGGTTCCATTTACATGAGGTTCAGGAATAGGTAAAACTGATCTATGATGATAGAAATCAGAACAGAGGTTGCTAAGTGGGGGGAACTTTCTGGGAGGTGATGGAAACATGTATGCATTTATCAAAACTTATTAAATTGTACACTTAGAATTGGTGTACTCTGTATATATAAATTTTACCTCAGTTAAAAAAAAAAGATGTTTACAGCAATTTTTAAAATGGAAACAACTTAAATATCTTCTAATGGGGGATAGTTTAATAAAGTGTATACCCAAACTCCACAGCACTGAAAATGATACGAGAGAAAGCACCTTATTGACAAGGAGAGATGTTCATGACAATTTATGTGTAAAAGAAAGTTATCAAACAGCATGTAGAATACAACAGACATGTAAGCACAGAAAAAGGTCTGGAGGCTTTTCACCAAAGTGAGACTGGAGGTTACCTTAAGAGGTATAATTCTGGATGTTTTCACTTTTTCTACACGGAACACGTACTTGCTTTTGTAATAAGAAAAAAAATACTTCTAGATAGATGTTATAGATACAGTTAATTCTCCTTATTCATGGTAGTTACATTTCCTAAAGTCCCCAGAACTCTGAATTAGTGAATACTGAACCATCACTCATGGGAGAAATACAGGATTTGGTTCCTGTGAGCATCTGGTCACAACATTTTCATCAGCTAATCAATACATAACCTTGTTTTATGTGGGCTTTTATTGAAAGACATCTTATTGAATATATAGTGTAGATTAACTAACATTGAACTCACAGCCAACAGCACTATAACTCATGCCGAACAAAGCTTACTTATCGCATGTATTTTCTCAGGAAGGCACATCATAGTCTTTTTGCACTTAAGAACACTCGACAGCACTATGCTTGGGGACAGTTTAGACAAGGGAATTGTCACAAAAAAGGGGGGGCACAAAAATGCGAAAAACACGGCACTAAACAGACTATGAAAAGAACACTTGTTTGCATGAGAACCGGAACGAGGAAGCAGAGGGTCACCTTGTTCAACCTCAGATGGTAACACACATGTTAGGTGACTCAAATTTTCTGTCACTCTGCACATAGCTGTGAATGACCACAAAAGTGGTCACTGATTTGGGGGGGGGGTAACAAATAAATTTTAGCAAGTAGGCCAAATTCACAAATATAGAATCGTCAAATAGTTAGAATCAACCGTATATAGACTTATCTATGGAGGAAAGTATCCCCAAGCTTCAGGCCAGCACTCCTGGGGTGTCCAGGGAGGAAAGGGAGGGGGAGACCCAGCAGGGGGGAAGCAGGCCCAGAGACAGGCCACCTGGGAGGCAGGAGCCACCTACCTCCAGGCAGTCCCAGCCCCAAGTCGTAAGACCAGAGACCTGACAACTTGGAAGGAAAGCCAGACACAGCAGAGAAAGATGCATCTCCTGGGGAATCTCATCTGAACCAAAGCAAAACCACAGAGGAGGGCACCTCTGACCTGCTGGCTTTCCAGAGAGGCTGGACTGGGAACCGAGTGGGAGTTCATGGTCCAGACCCCTCCACAACCATCTCAGGAATGTGTCTGAAGTCACGGACACTGCCTTGATTTTGTCTTCTGTCATTACTGTTTCATGCTTGGGAATGCAAAGTCTTTACCAGGGCTTACAGAAGCCAGTCCCGACCTCAGCCCAGGGCCTCACGCTCCCAGGAATTCCTCAGCCCCGCAGGGTTCCCAGGACCCTCATGCTCAGAGCTGGGAAGGGGCTGCTCAACCCTGATACTCCCTGAAAGAGGCAAGCCTCATCCCATGCCCTAAGATGAACACGCATTCCTCATCGAAGTGGGCGAATCTGGAAGGTTCCTCCACCAGGGAGGGGCTGGCAGAGACTCTGAGGCTGACAGTGTCTGGAGTGGTGCCGACACCTCTTAATAATTAGCTCAGGACTCTGGTGAGTGCATTGATAATCCATATCCCTGTGGCCTACCAGGTCAGAGCTTTCTTCTGGAGGTGAGGTTCCAAGCTCTCAAGGGCGGGCAACTTTGGGGGCATTTGACCAGCTCACAGTTACATCTCCTCTCCCAGGAAGGATGGGCCCCCAGCCCTGCTTGAACCTACTCCTGTCCTGATGGGCAGAACCTCCCTGAGGACAAGGATTGCCCCCAACACATGCCAGGTCTGCTGCCCGCCAAATGCTGTGCTTCGTCCATTCGGTCTGCAAGACTTACCCAAAACATGGACGTGGGCAAAAAAGGTGAGGGCCTAACCTTTTAGCGTCACGCTACAGCATTCCCTAAGGAGCCCACCCAAGGGCCATGGGACGTCCTGGGGGAAGTTCACCTTGTTTACTTGCCATTCACTGTGTATTACAGCCAAGGTTCTGCAAAGCTGGATGTTAACTTGTACAAAACTGGGGATATGTAAACGATTTCTGCTCAGTAGAAAGGATAACCCCAAAGGTTTTGTTTTTATTGTCCTGTAGGATCTAACGTAGTGATTTTATATCAGGTTCTTATTTCATATATATTTAAAATATATCATAGTTCCTATATTTTCATATGTGTGAAATATATGCATTATATATGTGTATATTCATATATATGTGTATACACACACACACACACACACACAGACACACATCAGTAAAGGATTAACCTAACCCAAAGAGAGGTCTGGCCTTTGCACTTGGCTCCTGGGAGGTATCTCTAAGCTCTTGAAATGTCCTATCTGATAAGAGGGTCTGGGAGCCTTGGGCCAGATAGTCTATGCCAACGTTGTGATTTCTGGGGGCATCCCTTGTGCCAGCTCAACCACCAGAGGGGCTAGAAACAGCTCAGCCATGCAGGAAGCCACCATGTATACACGACTGAGTCCCACTAAGAGCTCTGGTTCAGGGCAGCAACCCAAGCGTGGTCTTGGGGACCCCAATCTGCATATTTATCAGTTTCTCTAATCTCTTTTGAATCAGCTTTGCCATGTTGCTGGTTCCACAATCCATGCGTTCAATACAACGCACGCTCACAAGCCACTTGTGTGAGAATTATGACTTACACATTTTGAGACTTACTACACTTCATCTCGTGGTTCATTCATTCCTCTAATGAAGAGAATATGAAGAGAGATGAAAAACATATACGCTCCAGCACTGCAGTGTTTCCAAGAGAGGAAGGAAGGGGCCCCATTCGGGTGTGGCTTAGTTACCCCTTGAGGAACTGGACAGCCCTGCAGGGTGGCGAGGGGCGGGGGGAGGCCGACGTGAAGACATGATTATAGTTGGCCGAGGCGATGACGAGGTGGTGGGCGGGGGGGGGGGGGGCGCCCTCAGAGGCTCCAGAGCTGAAAGAAGGACCCAGGAGCCTTCCTAAGGCTTAGGGAGGGCTTCTAAAGTTGAAGTCTTGATGGCAAGCCAGTACTTCATCGGGTGGAGCCAATGGTATTTATTTTATTGGTCACTGAAAAGCGCTGAGTCAGTTACTTAAGGGTAAAAAAGTCACTGCCCTTGAAAGCCCTGTCTCCCCAGCCCCTCGCAGAATCCAGAGGACAGGTCTGCTCTACTCTGTTGGAGGGACCAGAGGTCTCTCCCACAACCATGGTCCAAACCTGGTTCTTAAGGCCTCCGACCTCAACAAGGGACCCAGTGTGAGCCGTTGTCATTCAACACATAAAGCACAAAGTCCTGCCACCCACGCCTTCACCTGGGGGAGCCAGGCCTCCCCTCAGCCCCTCACACCTGGGGTCCCTTCTGTTTCTCCCCAAAGAAAGGCCCAGGCAGTCCTGCGCCCCCCAAGTATGGGCCAGCCCCTGAGGCTGTCCACCTCAGTTCCCAGAATCAGGCTCACAGACCAGTAAAGGAGGTACCACTGGACGCTTCCATGTCCCAACCCCTTCCTTCAGCTCAGCTTTGGGCCACAGGCTCACTGAAGCATCATCATCGTTATTATTACTGCCCTTGCTGTTCTTCGGCTATTATTTGTAATCCAAAGACTTTTAGGCAGTGTACAATAAAAGCATACACATATAGAGTACTTATATTTTAAATAGACATATAACTAAAATCAGTAAGTTAGGTAATAAAAAAAGATGAGAGAGGATCATTTTGTCAGAAAGTTGAGGTTGAGGAGAACTACTGTTTCCAAATTCAAAACTGACCCCTGAGCCTTGGGACTGCCCAGCTCTCCTGGAAAACCAGGTGGGCTGCAAACCTGTTTGTCAGGCAGGACCCACTGTCCCTGGATGTGGGTGCGGCAGGGATGGGCTCTGTTGCTGTCTCTGAATCCCACCTGAGCGCTGCTCTCTGGGCCCATCAAGTTCCAGAGCCAGGAGCCTGGCTCCTGGGCTCAGAAGGAAGGCTCTGGCTCTGGGTCCCGACCTCCCCTCCTCCCTCTGGGCACCTGCCCAGCAACAGGGCCAGGGCAGCAGGGTGAGGCCTTCCTGCTGCTGCCGCCCACCAGGTCCATCTGCCTTATTCTACAACTGGCGTGGCTTCAAGGCTCCTGGGTCCTCATCTGCGTTTGCTCAGAGCCCAGATATCCAGCTCTGCCTGCCCTGGCTCTGGGGTAAGTCAGAGCCAGAGCAGAAGACATAGGCTGCACACTGACTCTCCTCCTCAGGCCAGGGCTCACGATTCTCCTTCATGCCTGGCCCAAGCAGTGCACACGGGACCCCACCTCTGTGCCCACAGGCAGGGTGCCAGGCTCTCCCCAGTTTGGCCAGTCCCGAGCATTTGGTTCAGGGATGCTTAGGAAAAAGAAGGAAGGAATGTGGAAGAAAGGAGAGCTGCTTGCAGAAGGAGGGCAGGGGAGGGAGGAGCATCTGTAGACTCTGAAGCTCGGCCCGGCCAGCACCCCCTCCTCTTGCCCCCTGCCCCTGGCAGACTCACCCTCGTCACAGTTGCTCCCGGTAAAGCCAGGGCAGCACCTCCACTCCAGCGCCGTCACTGTGCGGTAGGACACTCTGTACGTGGGTCTGATCAGAGTCCTGTAACTAACACAAGGGCAGAGTCAGGACAGTGTGAGCACCTACCTGCCCACCCCAGATCCCACTCCTGCTGAAACCACCCAGCCTAGGGCTCTGGGAGCCCCCCAGGCAGTAGAGCCCATCATCCTAGCTCTGTGCCCACAGGCTATGTGGCCCTGGGTGAGTGACCACCCCTCTCTGTGTCGGGTGCATTGTAAAGTCCCTTCCAGCTCTGCCTTCCCACAAATCTCCAAGGGTGGCCCCCTAGGGTGGGGAAATGACTGCTACGGACTGAATTGTGTCTCCCAGAAATCATATGTTGAAGCCCTAACCCCCACAATGTGACTGTACTTAAGCATAGGCTCTGAAGAGGTAATTAGGTTAAATGAGGTCAGAGGGGTGGGGCCCTAATCCAATAAGATTGGTGGCCTTTTAAGAAGAGGAGGACAGACAGAGATCTCTCTCTGTGCACATGCACACACTGAACAAAGGCCATGTGAGGACACAGAGAGGTTGCTGGCTGAGAAAATTAATTTCTGTGTTGCAGCCATCTGGTCCATGATATTTTGTTAAGGCAGCCCAAGATAATGAATAAGGAAAAGAAAAATATCATTAGAACCTGTACAACTTCCAACCACCCACAAGTCACTTAACTCCAACTTTTTCCCAATCATTATTTCTTTTGGTTGATTCATCCAATGAATATATATATGTATTTTTTTTGGCCGTGCCCCATGGCATGTGTGATTTTAGTTCCCCAACCAGGGACTGAACCCCTGCCCCCTGCGGTAGAAGCATGGAGTCTTAACCACTGGACTGCCAGGGAAGTCCCCAATGAATATTTATTGAGTATCAACTACAGGCAATACTGTGGTCACAGATTAATAAAACGGAGTCCCATCCTTGAGAAAATCCCAGCCTGACAGATGAGAGAGAGAGACACTCCAGTGAAAACTTGCAATTCAGTAGTGGGGCCCTTGCAGCAACCAAACGCTCCTGCAAAGTGCAGTGGGATTCCATGGTAAATTTTCACACAATTTTGAAATTTTTCTTGAAAATAAGTTTGATACTATTTTGTGAAACTCCAAGAATAGTGAATATAAAATATATGACCAAACCACACTGAGATATCACCTCACGCCTGTTAGAATGGCTATTATCAAAAAGACAAGAAATAAGTGTTGGTGAGGATATGGAGAAAAGGGAACCTTCATGCACTGTTGATGGGAATGTAAATTGGAAACCGTGGAAAACAGTACGGTAGTTGCTAAAAAAAAGTCAGAAATAGAACTACCATAACATCCACTTCTGGGTGTTTATCCAAAGGAAATGAAAACACTAACTCAAAAAGATATCTGAACCCCCATGTGCACTGCAGCATTATTTGCAATAGCCAAGATATGGAAGCAACCAAAGTACCCATCAACAGGTGAGTGGATAAAGAAAATGTGGCACACGTACACACACACACACACACACACGCACACACACACACACGAATATTATTCAGCATAAAAAAGAATGAAATCTTGCCATTTTCGACAACATGGAAAGACCTTGGACAAATACTGTATGATCTCCCTTACAGGTGGAATCTAAAAACAAAAAAATAAAAACAAACCAAGCTCATAGATACAGAGAACAGACTGGTGGTTGCCAGAAACTGGGGGACGGTGGATAGGGAGCAGTGCAAAATGGGTGAAGGTGGTCAAAAGGCACAAACTTCCGGTTATAATAAGTCATGGGATGTAATGTACAGCATGGCAACTATAGTTAATAATACTGTATTGCATATTTCAAAATCGCTCAGAGTAGATCTTAAAAGTTCTCATTACAAGAAAAAAAATTTTTGTAACTACTTGTGGTGACAGATGTTAACTAGACCTATTTGTGGTGATCATTTCACAACATACACAAATATCGAATCACTATGTTGCACACATGAAACTAATTCAATGTTATCTATCACTTACACCTCAATGAACACACACAAACACAAAAACATATGACTGGTTTTCACGAGGGGCAGAGATTCGGCTTTATTATTCGATGTACACGCATCATTATAGCTTGGCTGCTTGATAAAGTCTGCACAACTTCCTCCTGAAAGCAAAACTGCATGACTTCACAGAATTTGCATCTGCTGACACCAAGCAACTTAATCGTGAATGGGAAAATTATGAATTAATTGGTGGCAGCAGGCGTGACGTTCTGAGATGCACTGTTGACAGGAAAATACATAAGTCAGGTTTTGAATTTCAGAAATACTGCACTAAATCTGAAGAATCCTGCTACACTAATTTTTCTTTCAAAAACAAAAATCCTCTCACTCATGTTTCGTAAACATTCCGGCAAACCAGCTTCCCTCTGGAGCTCTAAGTGGGAAGCGGGGTGGGGGCAGGGGCTGGCAGTGCGCAGCCAGGGGCTGGAACTTTCGAGTGAGGAGCCAGAAGTCTGCACGGAGAAGTGCCCAAGAGCAAATGCAGGCCTTTGGTCTCTCAGATCCACGGCAGGAAGTAGCTGGCATAGGCCACTGGGGAGGGAGTGGGGGGGTGGCAGAAGACCAGTCATTGTCACCACTCCTTATAGAAGGAGCCTGGTGGGACATAAGTGGGTAGGCGAGCCTGGGTCCAAGGAGTCCCAATAGACTGTCTGTATGACAAACACACACACGATTTCTCATTCACATATACACTCACATGCTCACACGCATGCTCACACACACGCTCACACACACACACACACACACACGCTCACACCCTCTTCCTGCTGCAAACTTCCCAGCCAGGAACTGGCCCAGCTGGGAAAGGGAAGACGCTTTAATTTCAATTTAAAAAGTCAGTTTTAAAATTAATTCTTGAAAGAAGATTGTTGCTCTGGCTGAGAGGGACCAGAAAAGCTATGGAATCCCTCCCATAACCACTGCACCATGGAAGAGATGGAGCCCCGGGCTGTGGGGTCATAAGCTGAGAGTTTAGGGCCCTGCCCCTGATTCACCATGTGAATTGCACACGTTCCTTAACCTCCCTGAGCCCGTTTCCGGGTCTGCACGCCGAGGACCGGGATGCTGGGTATGAGGCTCCTTGGGAGAGCACGTGTGAGAGCAGAAAGGGACGTGTAGCTGCTGGGTTTGCGAAACACAGATCTGACCCCTTTCTTCCTGGCCAGCACCTTTCGCCTGTCCCCACTGTGGTCAGGAGAGAGTCTGAGCTGTTTAGCCACGGGGCCCAGCCCTTCCTCAGCCGCCACAGCTGCCCTCAGGCCCCCTGTGCCATAGGCTGCCCCTCGGCCTGCAGCCCATGAGCCCTCCAAAGGCGCCAGGCACTCCTCACTTTGTGCCCTGAGTGATGATGGTGATAAAACAATAAGAGCTATAGTGAGAGCTTTGCGTACTTACCACGTATCAGGCACCGTGCTGAGTGCTTTACACTTGCTGACTCATAACAACCCTGACAGGTGGATGCTATTACTACTCCTCATTTACAGATGAGGAAACTGAGGCGCCGAGAGCTTCAGTAACTTTATCAAGGTCACCCTGCTAGAAGGTGGTGGAACTTGGTTCCAAACCCAGGCAGAATTAGCAGAACCTAGTAACACTAATTTGTGTTCGTTCAGAACAGGGGAACATTGTTCCTCCCTGCATCTGCACAAGGTACTGATCTCAGGCCCCTGAACCAGAGGGAGAGCTCATCCCCCAGAGAAGGTCTCTTTCTGCCCCCTCCTTCTGAGGGCCACGGGCTGGCCTGTCCCACTGCGGGACCAGAAGCATCATGGTGGCCTGCAAAGTCCAGGAGCAGAGAGAGCCAGTAGGTGGCGCTGCTTCCCCAGCCCAGCAGGCCAGAGTTCAGACCCCTCAGATCTCACCTGAATGCCCAGGGCAGGTGCAAGTGTTCATGGGCTGTCCCCATCTTTTCACCCTCCATGAAGAGCTCCCAGCCCTTCCCCTGGGCTCCAGTCTGCAAACCCACTGATCTTTCTAAAATGCAGATCCGCTTTTGTGACTGCCCTCTCTCAAAACCTTCCATGGCTCCCATAGACTTAAGATCACACTCTTTAGGTCAGCAAATAAGGCCCTGCCTACCTTTCTCCCCTCCACTCCTCCCACCACAGCACAAACAAGCAGCTCTTCCTGCCTCTGGGCCTTTGCACATACATGCAGGCTCCTCTGCCTACTCACCCCTCCTTCTTTACTCTGATGAGAAAAATCCCCAAGGGCCTCCAGGGTGTGACTCCACATCCCCTTCTCTGTGAAGCACCCCCAGCCCCAGCCAGAGCTGACAGGCTCCCTCCTCAGTACCCCCAACACCCTGTACACAGCTTGGTTTTACGTGTGGGGTGCCTGCCATGAGCCGGGCACTGGGAATACAAGAACGAAGGAGGCAGCACGAGCTCCACTCTGCCAGAGCTGGTGGCACTAATCCTGTATCACACACATAAATATGTGGCCATGCGTGGTGGTCAGTGCCAGGGAGGAAAGCGCTGAGTTCACTCCTCACATTGTAATGGATTTGTTTTCTCTTTTTCGATTAAAATATAATTTACATGCAGTAAAACACAGATGGTCCCCAACTTATGATGGTTTGACTTACAATTTTTTGGATTTCACGATGGTGCGAAAGTGATACGCATTCAGTAGAGACCACACTTGGAATTTTGAATTTTGATCTTTTCCCCAGGCTAGCCATATGGGGTACGGTACTCTCTGGTGATGATGGGAAGCTTCCAGTCAGCCCTGCGATCACAAGGGTAAACAACCAATACTCAACTGGTACTGTGTTGCCAGCATTGTTTTCGATACTGTGTTTCGCGTTTTCCCATCCCATCGTGTCTACAAAATGCCCATCTGTGTCTCCTGCTTCTGGTGAGAAGAAGAGGAGGACAATACTCTTGAGATGAAACTCAAGATAACTGCCCAGCATGAAGGCGGTAAGCCAGTAACAGCCATTGCAGGTGAGTTAGGACTTTGGCAATCTACGATCTTGACCATCTTAAAGGATAAGAAGCAAATGAGTGATGCAGTGAAATCA